GGGCAGAGGCGGCGAGCGGGGACCGATGTTCTCTGAGAGGCTGGCGGCAGGGGCTGATGGCCTCTGGGCAGGTGGCGCACGATGTTCGAGGATCGCTGGGTGGATGGCGGCGGGTGGCTCGGTGGCCGATGCTCTGTGCTCCCTGAGAGCTGCGCGCGACTTATGAAGGGCGCGAGCCGCGCCCCTGGGACTGGGAGGTTAATGATTGGCAGCGCAGCGCGCCGGAGCCAGGTGTTCAAAATAAAGTTTGTTTTGATCATGTGCGCCCAAGGCCCTGCGCAAACCGTGGGTGGAAGGACAGTAAACGGTTCAGGTTCCAGACTACGCTTGTCCTGTTGTTATGGGGTTCAGGCCTGGATCCAAAGTTCATTTCTAACAACAAGCGAGCTGCCAGGAGGGGGGTGGTGCTTGTTTTTGTTCAAGGGGCACTGGGGCCTAGCCTGCCAGCACTCTTCAGCTGACCCAGAGAATGCTGGACAGATCTGGCACACAGCACACCTGCCAGTTTTCAAATGGGGAAACCAAGGCCCAGGGTGAGGAAGGGTGGGACTGCGTTAGAACCCAGGTCTCTGCAAGCCCTGGTGGGTGCTCTGTGGCAAAAGAAGTCCACAGCCGGCAAAAAAACCCACAGCTCATCCCAGGGCTCTGCCAACCCCCCCAGTCTAACCGTAGCCCCGAGAGACCCACCGTGTTAACTGAACCTCCATAGAGCACAAAGGCTCAGAGCCTTGAGTAACAGGCCAGGCCTGCAGCTGTGGAGCCGGGACCCCAAGCTGCCTCTGACTTTCTGGCTTAGACCAAATATTTATCAGTAGTCAAATACAAAGGCTGTCACTTTAGTTAAAATTTCTATTTCTTGGATATTCCCTTGGGCCACAAGAAAAACGTCAGTATGCCTTCAGAGAAAATCAGAAATGCGCCCTTCTCCAGGAGCCACAGGCTCTCCCCAGCACCCCTCTGTGGCCTTGCAGTGGAGAGCTGTGATCGGGGAGCAGGCCACACTCCACGCATGCCCCTTTGCCTCTCCTGTGTCCCCCAAACGTACCCCGGACCCGCCCCCGTCTTTGCCTCCTGGCCCAGACGCAGGCTCACAACAGCCCCTAAGCCCAGCCTGGGCCTCCTGTCTGCCCTTCAGCTGTTTCAGACCTTTAGGGGTGCTGTTTCAAACCTGAGGGCTTGGAGATTGCCTGTTCAGCCCTTGCGTTACAGAGGAGAACGCTGAGGCCAGAGAAGGAAGGACATTGCCAGGTTAGAGTTACAGAGGCGGGAATGGCACAACCTGGACAAGAAGTGACACTCCTGATGCCCTGCAGCACGTCCTGATCACCGTGTGCTACCCGTAATGCTTTTCTCTGTAATTTTGCGTAAACTCCTTGAACAGCACACCTGACATCCATTCTTACATTCAAGGAAATGAGCATCAGTGCACCCTCCAGAGCAGCTGTGAGGGCCAGCGAAGATGGTGGCTGCTGTGGGACTCTGGAGCTGGGACAGGAGAGACCTGTGCTAACGAGCCACCCTCAGCCGCTCATCCTGCGGGGACAAGATGGACGAGAAAAGATGTGCGAACTAATCTCCACTATGAAACCACGCAGCAGACAACCTCCACGTCCACTGCTCGGCGCTAGATAAGTAAACCCAGGGGCATCTTTCACTGGAAAATAGGCAGCTACTAACAAAAAAGGGCAGCTCGATATTTTCTGATAGAGAAAAATCTCCAAGGTAAGTAAAGTTATTCAAGTAAAATCTCCCAGTTAACACGGGAATGTACAGAATATGCTGTCGTTTGCATACAGTAAAAGTACCACGAATGTACATGTAACTGCATTTATTGACATAAATTGATAGCAATGCCGACTGGGGAGGGGGTTTGAAATTGTGTGGCTGATGGACAGACTAGTTTTCCCTGCATGCCTTTTTTTAATCCTGTGGATTTATACGATGTGCTTACATTATCTGTCACATTATCTTTCTGAAGAAGAAGCAAGTTAAAAGTAATTTACTGCTTCTTTTCTAGCCCCTTCCCTGGGTCTGTGGCCTTGGGGAATAGACTTGGCTTTGCCGAGCTGGCTTTTGTTCTCCCCGTAAAGTCTGAGTAAATACTAGCAGCTCCAGCAGCTCCTCGGCAACAATCAAAATAAGCTGTCGTGAAAGAACTGTTGATGGAAGTTCATGATTGTGGGTATCATTGTTTTCTACAAAGCAAAGTTCAGTGTCTGGATAAGAAACCAAGCGGTGGTTTTGAGGTTTTTAGCATTATTGTTGGTTTAGGGCTCTAAACAATTTCATTTCCAAAAGAACATGTGCTCTGAATGTTCTCTCACTTCCTCATTTGACATTTTCTTCATGATACACAGGAAAGAGAGAATGCTTTAGAATATTTATTTAGAGTCATCATAGTGTGCTAGTGTGTCCACCTGGCCCTGGAAGGTTCACCCCATCGCACATGTGCTCCGGGCCCACACCCCCGCCCCCGAGATCTCACCATCCTGCACGTAGTGGAAATTTCTCCTCTTGAGGATCGATTTCGCAAATGTTTCCCTTCACAGCAACAGCAAACCAAACGGCCCCCCAAGCCAGAGAGAGCACTCTCCTACCCCTGACCTTCTGTCTACACAGATGCAGCCAGGCCCCTTCCACCAGGCCCGTGTGGGCCGTCTCTCTGTCCACCACCCTGTGTGGGGCAAACAGCCCCCACCAGGCAGGCCAAGTCACAGCCATGGTGGCTACTGGCACGGCCGTCTCTGGGTGCATCCATGAGCCCCCACTGCTCCCTGACAGGGGTCACAGCCTGGCTGGTGTCTGAGCCTCCTATGGTTTGGCTCCCAGAGCCACCAGGACCAGGGTGAGGCCTCCTGACCTACTGACCCTCAGCCACCTGCTCACCTAACCCTAATCCCAGCCATGAGACTCCTCCTCGTTTTCCAGCTTTGATGTCCCCTTCCCCCATTCATTAAGAAAAACCAGCTGCACTTCCTTACCCACACGTCTTCGGTCTTGCTGTTCTGGGTGCCTGAACTTCCATCACCTGGTACCCTCCCTCTCAAGTCCACAGTCTCTCCCGTCCATCCCAGAAGCTCTATCTTCGTGGGCTCCGTCCTGATACCTCCCCCCATCCTGTGACCACCTCTCAGAATGTTCTCTTCCAGCTCATTGTCCAAGCTTCTGTCTGCATTCTGTCCCTCACCCAGAAGTGGCCACGGTAGAGATGAGAGCCATTCACCATGCGGTGGGTACGCAGCCAGGCATGGTAGAGAGGGCTAACAAACGGGATGCCCCAAACTTGCCATGATCCTGCACTGTCCAGCAGGTGGACAGTCTGGCAAGGGCTAATTATAAGGTCAACCTTATGATAAGTGTTGTGGGAAGACAGAGCATTTGCATTTCTGGGCACCTCTCAGAGCAGGGGCTGGACAAGGCTGGCCTCAGAGGGCGAGTGGGATTCCCCCAAGGAGCAAAGAATGGGAGAACAGTGTGGGAAAACAGAGATAGCACTGGGATAAGGGCAGAGAATCGGGTGGCATGTGGCATGTTCAGGGAATCACCAGCAGTTCTTCCTGCCTGGAAGCTGGAATACCAGGGCGGGGAAGCTGGCAGGGAGAGACCTGGATGCTGAGTGAAGGGGCGTAGACCCCCTTGCTAAGGCAGCAAGCTGCCACCACAGGGTTGTGAGCAGGCTGAGAGTGCAGAGATCCCTAGAAGGCAGGCCCTGAAAGATCCCCAGGGAGAGAGCAGCCTGGAGACCCCTCATTTCCACATTCCTTTCAAGCACCAGCCAGACAGCCAGACAGAAGCTGAGGATCAGCCACAAATGAGAAGGAGCCCACCCTCAGTGATCTAGAGGGGAACACAATACACAGGCACTTTAACAAATGCACTAGTTTGTGATAAAGGCATGAAAGAAAGAAAAGG